TGCACCTGGCACGGGCACCGTAGCCAGCCCGTGCCCCTTTAAGGGCTCCGGGGCCGGGAGGGGGGCAGAAGAGTTTCCCTGGTGGTGCCCAGAGTGGCCACCAGGGCAAGCTGGGGAGGGCTAGCCTCCCACTAGTTCGAATTAAGTGGCTACACAGCCCTTAATTCAAACTAGTTAATTCGAACTAGGCGTTAGTCCTCATAGAATGAGGTTTTCCTAGTTCGAATTAAGCGCTCCGCTAGTTCCAATTAAGTTCGAACTAGCGGTTTGCCTGTGTAGCACCTATCAAAGTTAATTCAAACTAATGTCTGTTAGTTCGAATTAACTTTGTAGTGTAGACAGACCCTCAGTTATCGGGTGCTGGTCAGCTCTCCCCCCGGGATCAAAGTCCTAAACAGCAGCCCTGCTGCCTTCACCCAGAGTGTCTCAGATTGTCGCCTTTCACCAGATTGCCCAGGTCCAAGTGAAATTCACTAGACAAAATGGGCCAGTTGTGAATCTCAGCTCTGTCACACGCTGCTTCTTTATCGTGTGTTGGGAGTTGTTTATTTTCTTACAGGTGTCCATGCAGGGTGGAGGGGAGAGAGGATAAATATGTAAAAATCAAGACACTTAGCTACAAAATGGTTGCGCAACAATCAATAACATTTAGAATCAGATTTATTTTTCAGAAGCCACATAATGAAAAATAAAATTGATTATAAAGTTAGGACTTCAGAATGAACCAGCAAGTCAATACATTTAGGGCTCCATCTTCTATTCCTCCCCTCCCCTTCAGCATTCAAAAACAGATTAATGAAAAATAAGATTCACTTGGAAGATAAGTCACTTGGTTTTAAGAGTGTTTCAGCGAGATGGATTGCTCTGGCTTTATAACCTAAATTTGCAATCAGCCCTATTGATTTCTTAATGCTTCAGAGGAATATTGTTAACATTGATTTAAACCCAGTTCGTGCATTTTTAAGGCTGTTGGCCCCTTTTCTCCCCAATCAGACCATCCTACTTGAGCCATTGTCCCAAACAGCTGTTCTAAAGCGGTTCTTCCTCATTAGCCAATCAACATCCAGTTCTCGCTCCCTCTGCCTGGCTCTGAAGGGCTCTGGTTTTGTTACAATTTAATTATCGGCTCTGAGCTCTGCCTGATAGAAGCTAAAACGCAGGAATATTAAAAAAACCAACCAACAAAGATCCGGTGAGACGGGAAACCAATGGACAGGGCCAAGGAGAAAAACCTTCGAGCCCATAGGAGAAGCCACCTGCTGTCCCAAAGGAACAGTGTCCTCTGGCACTAAGTTTGCAGCGTGAGAGATCTCACTACGTTTGCAGGCTCATCCCCACCAACGGCCTTCATCTCCGTCCGTGTGGACCTGAGGGACCAGTGGCAGAGCTGCCCTGGCTGGTCAGGAGAAGTGGGCTGCAAAGGGCTTTGTAGACCACTAATGAAACACCAGGCACTTAGACAGCAGTTGCTGTTTCCAAAGAGCCCTGCGAATGCTGGGACAGTCTCACAGCCTCCCCCTTGGGCGCTGGGGTCGATTGGATCAGCCCCAGCGGTGACTGAAGCACGTTAAGTATTTGCCGGGGCTGAGGGGAACGCTGGGATTAAAGCCCCTGGCCTTACGCTCAGTGCGCATGGGCACATGGCCTCGGGTCACTAAGGGCCGCAGTTGTCCTGGGCAGCGCGGGGTGAGGGTGGATGCCGCCCGCCCTGTGACGATGCTCGATGTGTATCCCCGTGTCTGCAGGCCCCAAAGAAGGAACTCCAGAACGGGGTGATCCGCGGCTACCAGATCGGCTACCGGGAAAACAGCCCCGGCAGCAACGGGCAGTACAGCATTGTGGAGATGAAGGCCACGGGGGACAGTGAGGTCTACACCTTGGACAACCTGAAGAAGTTTGCACAGTATGGAGTGGTGGTGCAGGCATTCAACCGGGCGGGCACAGGGCCCTCCTCCAGCGAGATCAATGCCACCACGCTTGAGGACGGTAAGCTCGCCAGGCACCTGGGCGTACAGACAAGGGTGCGGGTTCTCCCGGTCTCTGGTACAGGCCAGCTTCTGGCCTTGTCAGCATGGGGGACTTGCCACGATTTCACCCTGCTTTCCAGCACAGTTGGCAATGCTGGTCGGTCTGCCCCGCCCACGGAGCCGGCCACCCGTGGCAGATGATCCAGTAGTGGCAGGACCCGAGAGTGCGTGTGGCAGGGGGGCAGCAGTGTCTCTGCCTCTCGTTCTGTCTCCATCTGTCAGCCCTTCCCTCTTTGGGAGTAACGCCTCGGTGCTCTCCTGCGCGGCGTGTCTGACCCCTCTGCCCACTTCGCCTCTGGGGCCAGCACAGAAAGTACTTCCGGGCTCTGCCCCTTTCTGGTGGGGGGCAGCGCGTCTGGGATCTGTCCCCTGCCTGATGGGCCAGGAGGCTGGCTCGGATTATATCCCGGGGGTTTGAATTCTTTACCTACACTATGTTTCCTGTGACAGGGAGTTCGCCCTGCACTGGCCCTTTAAGAGCAAACCCTGGCCCCAAGCAGGGTCTGGGAGTTTGGCCCCAGCTGAGGCCATGTTAGCTGATTGGGGCCCAGCTGGGAACCATATAAGATGATGGACGGCTGCTCCTGGGGGAGAGCAGTGAGAGCCTGGCTGCTGGGGGAGGAGGAGGCGGTGGCTCCTTGGAGCTAGAGCAGGGCTGGGGAAGCAAGGCACGGCAGGGCAGGGCAGGGCAGGGCAAGGCAAGGCAGGGCAGGGCTAGGGGCGCTCGGGCCAAGCAAACCCCCAGATTGCAGGGCCTGAAGAAACAACCACCCCCGGAAGGGGGGCTCAGAGACTGACGTGGGCACTGCCGGAGGGCAGTGTCCTGAAGAGAACGACGTGGCCTGGAGGGAAGAGGGGAAACACCACCTGAGGGAAGGTACCCTGCCAGCAGGAGGTGCTAATTCCGGGGACAGACGGCCGGGGGTGCTACGGCGGTGAGTGAACCCCCTCACATTTCCCAAGAACGAGGCGACTTGAATCGGTGCACAGGGATCCAAATTCTGCAGGATCTTTAGCCCAACCAAAGGGATGTCGGGGTGGATTTGCACATCCCTGATCATCCGAGAACGGCTCCTGCAGGATGAGGGCTCTCCGGAATGTGGTATTACGAGGCCATTTATTGCAGAGCCCCCGCACTCTGAAATATTTCCAACTCCCTGCACGGGGGGATGGGGCAGGGAATTCGAGCCAGTAACTCAAACCCAGCCTCCATGGCACTCGTGCAAGGGGCCTGCTGCCTGCTCCTAGATCAGCCATGTGTCCAGCAGCAGAGAGAGCCGAGAGCAGCAGGGACGTAGCGAATGACCCACCCCAAGAACCATCTCGGCGGCTGCCCAGGAGTGGATGCAGGCGGTCGTGTCTGGCCGTGCCCTCTAACGAGCGCTGGTCCCTGGCCAAGAACACTCGTCACTTTCCCCATCTCCCCTCCCTGAGGAGATGGGGGGGTCTGGCTGCCTCAGCGGGGCCAGAACTCCTGGTTTCTGCGTGACCTTAGGTAAATCCTCTCAGCCGCGGGCCCAGGAGAGCTGTGTTTCACTGGGCGGATGGACCCACATTTTGAGGGCCTCAGATCTGGGTCAGGTTTTGCAAAGGAGGCTCTGATTGGGGCTCCACGAAAGGCCGGATTGTCGGGGCACTGCGCGCCCACGGCTCCCGTCGACTGCAGATGATGTGGGGAGTGTTCAGCGCCTCAAGACAGGCGTTGCGTGTCCATCGCTAGGAGCCCAGAATGAGAGCCTGCCTGGGGGCATGGGACCTGTACCCTGTGGTGCGTGGGAGGGGCGGATGTTACCCGCCTGCTAATGGCTGGGGTTCTGCTAATGGCTGTGCTACTCTCCGCAGAGTGCGCGGCGGCCCTGGAGGGTAGGGGCAGCGCCCGGTGGGGTTACCCGAATGTTGTCATGTGCAAATGGCTGCCACAGATCAGACGCCAGCTGAACTGGAGGAATGTTCCACTGAGCAAACCTGGGGGCCTGGACAACCCAAACAGCCAGGTGTCTAAGGCTGAATGCTGTGACATCAGCCATGTGCACGCCGGGGACTGGCCCTGAAGGAAAAGAATCGGCTCCTTTATTATGATTGATCCTCACTTCCAGCTCGTGTGTCCGAGGCGACTGGGTATCCGGGGCCCCCACTCCCCAGCACTGTCGGGGGCGCTATGCTCCGAGTCTGCCCATCAGGCTGGCGTTTTATTTCCTCTTGTGTTTGGAATCTCAAGGCTGCCTATCCTGTCCGTGCTGACGGCACCATTCGTATTGTGCTAACCGCCCCACCCTACCCCCCGCATGGCTGAGTGTGCGTGGATGCGGGGAGATTAAACAGAAGAAGGGTCTATTTAAAAGAGAAGCGGGGAAGCAGGCGGTCTTGCCAGCCGGTGGTGCATGAAACCACGTGCAGAGCATTGCCCCATCCGGCACCTCCCAGCCCAGGCAGGGAGCTCACCGGGGAAGGGGATGCAACCACTTGCCCTGCGCCTCGGGCGGCGCTCGTCCTTTGAAGAGCTCAGAGCATTTGGGGGGAGGGAGAGGAGTTAATTAAGCTTCCTGGCAGCTGTGCGAGGTGGGTAGGTGTTGGGCCCATTTAGCCTATTGGCTGAGCTATGGCTCGAGGTTGACTGGCTTGTCCGGGATCACGGGTAATTGGCTGCTGGCAGAGGGGGAATAGAGCCCTGGTGCAGACACCCGTGTTCTTGCTGTGAGACGCGCGCTCCCTCTGCCCAGACGAGAGGCGAGCGTCCGAAATTCCATCATGCAACCAGAGCGGGGGGTGCCCCAGAGCCCGCGGTGGGGAGGTGGGGTTCTTTGCCTGCCTTTGTTGGTGGCTTGCTGCGTGACCTGGAGCATGGGGCATGACCTCTCTGCATCGGAGCTGCTGTTGGTACAGTGGGACTGGCAGGTCTGGCCCTACGGTGTTGGGTGCTTCGGGTCCCCGGCTGAAAGGTGCTACGTGAGTGCTAAGCCGGAGTGGGTATTTGGGGCTGCCCTGCCATGCACCTTCTCAGCTTCTGGCCTCTTTGAGTGGCTGAGCTATTGCTGTTGGCCTCGGAGTCATTTTAAAAACAAAAAAAAAGTTTCACTCTGCATTTGCTCAGCAGTTTTTCATACTTAATTAAGGCTCTCATTAGCCTGTCAAAGCATGATCATTTCCTGGCTCGATTAGCACTCCTCCTGGGGTATTCAAGGGCCCCTGTTTTAGCAATAGTGTCTTTTCCATAATTATATTGCCTTCATTTTGTTCAAACGGACTCCCTGTATTAGTTTATTGCACTCAGTCCCTAATTACATGGTGCTTATATTTTTACACCTAAGTAATATGAAACAATAATCATTTTCAAAGAGGATCGTTAGGATGATGTATTATCATGTAAATGCTCATAAAAATTAGAGTTACCTCTTATGGGGCAGAGGGATCTAATTACCTTGCATCCAGCAAGCTCTCCTGCTTTTCCCATGGCTGTAAGTGTGGGATACGCACTCTTGCGGCTCCCCGGAGTGCGGGCTCTCCTTGGGCGTGGAGCCGCGCTGGAGCTCCGCCCGGCCGTGCTGGGTCGGGTCTGCGAGAGGCAGCCAGTTGCCGTCGCAGGGCAGCACGTTTCTGGGGTGCCCCTCGCACCGTGCTGACCTTGGGCACCCTACTGGTCCTGCAGCTCGGGGCCCCTTTGTGCAGGTGGGTCAAACGCCGCCCTGCAGGACAGCCCTGGGGAGGGGAGGGGAGGGCTGAGAGTCCCCTGGGTCAGGCCCAGACAGCTGCTTCAGCCTGTGCCCGGGGATGCTGTGCAAGTCTGCCTGACAAGCAGGGCCACCACGTTTCGGCACCTGAGGCGGGGAGCTCAAAAGACGCCCCCATGCCCCCTTTTCTCCTGCCTGCCTGTGTCTCTGGTGCCTCCTTCCTCCAGCCCAGCCTCCCCCAGCTCTGCATCCAGCGCAGAGAGACTCCATCGGCACCAGCAGCAGACACCATGTTCTGCACTCTGGGTCCTAGTGGTGCCCCCCCGCCCATCTGGCACCTGAGGTGGCTGCCTCAGTTCTCCTCGCGGGAAGGCCAGCCCTGCTGACGATCCCGGGAAGAGCTGGAGCTCACGGGGCAGGACTCCGTGAGAGCAGAGGGGCGGAGATGCCAATGGAGTGGTGTGGGCGGGGCATTAATGGGGTGATTAATACTAAGCAGCATGGACAAAGCGCTGGTACCTCGGCCTGCTGTTTGCCCAACGCCAGGCCCCTTCTGCAGCTAGGCGCCTCCAAAGCAGAGGATTCGGGGGGCTGGTCAGACTGACCACGGAGCCGGGCCTCCCTCAGCCCTGCCGAGTGGCTCCGCAGTGTGACCTGGAGGTGGAAGGGTGGCGCCCAGAGCAGGACGCATAAGAACATAAGAACGGCCGTACTGGGTCAGACCAAAGGTCCATCTAGCCCAGTAGCCTGTCTGCCGACAGTGGCCAGCACCAGGTGCCCCAGAGAGGGTGGACCGAAGACAATGATCAAGCGATTTGTCTCCTGCCATCCCTCTCCAGCCTCTGACAAACAGAGGCCAAGGACACCATTTTATCCCCTGGCTAATAGCCTTTTATGGACCTAACCTCCATGAAATTATCTAGCTTCTCTTTAAACTCTATTATAGTCCTAGCCTTCACAGCCTCCTCTGGCAAGGAGTTCCACAGGTTGATGCAGCTCAGTGCCAGCTCCCTGGGTGGCGATGCTGCACACCCATGACTCCACGGGGCTGCTTGCTGTGAGTCCCTGAAAAGGGCTCAGTGAATGGTGCCCCGTAGGGTGACCCCTCTAATGCCTGCCGCCTGTGCTCTCCACACCCCCCGGCGGGGTGCGCCCTGGGCTGGGGGGAGGAAGGGGTCTGGAATCTGGCTGCTTGCTTAGGGGAAGCACCTGTGTTAAGCAGCCAGCCTGTAGAAGTGCCCAGGCTGGTTCTGCCCCACGCCAAGCCCACTGTCCTGCCTCCCTCCACCCAACCCCCACCCCATCCGTGGCCAAACCCAGCCCTAGGGTTGAAACCCGGTGCTGTAGGTTAGTCCACCTTAGCTTGCGTGAGCTGGGCCTAGGCTATGCTGCCAGCCGCTGTATGTCAGTGAGCTCCCGATGGCAGCAGCAGGTCTGCTCCGTCTACAAAACCCCTTGGCTGCTTTCTGCTGTGCTGCAAACTCGTCCTTTCCTTGGGCTTCCTGTCAAGTCTGGTGGGTGCTCGTGGGGATGCCTACACCGCAGCTGGGCGGCGGCGTTCTCAGGACTGGCAGACAGATCCCACCTAGCGGACTGCAACTGGCAGCATGGCTTTGTGCGGCACGGATGGTAGCTTGGACGAGCCACCTGAGTTCAAACCTGCCCAAGCCCTGAGCCCGAGCTCTGGTGGCTAGCCCGCTCTGCTATTTCGCACACACTAGCTCTAGCTGAGCTGCTGCAAATCTGTTTACCTCCCGGGGAATCACCCCTCCCCAGCTGCAGTGTAGATGGACACTGTTACCCTATTTACACCCACCCTGGAGCAGCCCTGCCTGCCACTGCGTCTGGCTTGCATCTTCTAACCCCCATTTGGCTGCTGCTAACGTCACTTTCAGTCCAAGCTTTGCTGCGGAATGGAGCCCTCTCTGGTGGGTGAGCTAGGTGGAAAGCGGAAATTCTAGCCCCTGAGAAATCCCAATAATTCGGCTTCTGCTTTTGTCTCAAACGACTGAAAATATTCACAGAACGTTGAGAAGTTCTGATTCGTAAATGTTCCCGTGAGGCGTTCCAGCTCCTCAAGCCAAGTCCGGGCTCCGATATCTCCCAGCATCGTCCTCCACTTTGAAATGTGGATTTGGAATAAAATACGTGGTTTCAGCACGACATTAAAATGACCATTTGAGTCGGACCAACACGCTACACAAGGCAAAACGTGAAACGCTCCTTTGAAATCGTTTTTCCTGGGGGACCGTGTTGGGTTGCACAAGCCCACGTTTTCTCATGGGAATGGGTTTTGTGGTTGGGAAATTCTGACCCAGTCAAGTTGGGGTCCTGTTGCATGCAGCACCCCGCTGTGGTCTGGCTTCTCACGTGCTCCGAGGGGCAAATCTGAGAGCCTGGAATTCGTACCTGCTCATTGCTCACACGCAGCAGCCAGGCAAAGCCTAAGAATAGACGCTGTGAGACTGGAGCTACCTGAACAGACAGATGGTGAGACCATCACTGATGCTCTGCTCATATTGCGATGCCTCCTCCCCCGCTGATTCACATCCTCTCTCCCCCTCCCTCTCTCTGCTTCGCTTCTTCCATCAGTTCCCAGCCAGCCCCCTGAGAACGTGAGGGCGTTATCCATCACGTCTGACGTAGCTGTGATCTCCTGGTCGGAGCCCCCACGCAGCACCCTGAACGGCGTGCTCAAAGGATACAGGGTCATCTTCTGGTCTCTCTATATGGACGGAGGTGAGGGCTCAGCTGGACTGGCTGGGTTTGCTTTCTGTTTCCTACTCCCCTAATTCGGAAATGTTACGCAAAGGTGAGAGCCTGGCTAGATCGCCAGCTCCATGAGCCCCAGGTGTGTCTGCCACCTCATCTACACGCACAGCTGGGCTCCACTTAGCACCTGGCCTTCAAGGCCCCTGCCATTGTAGTCTGCAGCCAAGCCTGCTGTGCGACGGGTTTTTCTGTGACCGCGGTGTGACGGCGCGTTGGGGTTTCCCATCTCCTGCACCCCCGGAGTGGCATAGACAGACTCCCCCAGCCAGTAGAACAGAGGGAGTTTATTGCTTCTCCAGGACACAGCACAGCACAGATGTCATCTGGTTCCAGGGCAGGCCTAGGATGCCTCAGCCCCCCTTGAGATGGGGGAGCCTGGGCCCCTAAATTCCAGCCCCTTCCCTAGGCTGTCTCCTCCATAATCCCAGAGAGACACTAACTAACTATCCCTTCCAGCCCTGCCCCCAGCCAGGGGCGGCATCCACCCTCCTTTGTTCCTCTCCCTGGGGGGTAACCGGTCGGACAGGTCACCTCCCTGTCCCATCAGCTACTCGGCTGGGCCGTGGTCCAGGCAGCAGCCAGTGGGGGGCACCCACAGCCCCAGCCCAGCAACCAGCAAGGGACCCCCACTACGTCACATGTGGAAATGGCCCTAAAGAGCCAGGATGCCAGGGGGGCCCTGTGTCGCGTGGCAGAATAGAGCCCAAGGCCGCGCTGGCTTTGGAGGCTTCCGTGGTGGCAGGTTCGTGTGCTCGTAGTCTCTGGGGACGGTTGGGAATCTCCAAGCCGTGAGCCCCCAGATCGGAAGCTGGGCCCTGAAGCTGCAGGAATAACTCTGCACAGATGGGCGGGTAATGTGGGCTGTGACCCAGCTGGCTTCCCTGTCCCTCTGCCTGGCCTGAAAGCAACAAGGGATAGTTGTGCCCGGCTCAGACCCCTGGCCGCGCATGACAGGAGCACGCACTAGTCCTGCCAAGGGGGCCAGGCCACATCCTCGGGGCCAGTGTTCTCCCAGGTGGTTAATCAGCCCTGCCCACTCAGAGGCGCTGATAATCACCGGTGGAGCTCTGCTGCCCTGCAGCTCGGAGGGAACATTGCCTGTGACTGTCAGGAGCAAAGCAGCAGTCTGGTCCTGAGCCCCCCGGTTTGTTCCCCTGCAGAGTGGGGGGAGATGCACAACATCACCACCATGCGGGAGCGAGTGGAGCTGCGGGGGATGGAGAAGTTCACCAACTACAGCGTGCAGGTCCTGGCGTACACGCAGGCCGGCGACGGGGTCCGCAGCAGCGTGCTCTACATCCAGACCAAGGAGGACAGTGAGTGCCGCCCACGCACGGTGGGGCCCCAGGGAGGAGAGGAGAGGGTGTCGCGGGTGGGGGGAGGGCAAGAGGGTTGCTGGTACGGTGGAGAAGCGGGGCCGGCTGGGGCATGGTGGTGGGGGGCACGGGCTGTTTGTCCGGCTGGGGCAGGACATGCCAATGCTGCAAGGGGATGCCAACGCAGCAGAGGTGGCGGGGGGAAGACGCTATTGAGCCAGGCTGTCAAGGGCTTGTTGAACTCAGGAGCCGAGGAGAAGGCTGCCCTCGCCAGTGATGCCAGCCAGCGTCCCGGGGCAAATGCTGACTCAGCTGCCCCGCTCCGGTCTTCTCTAGCTGAGGAGCCCAGTGCCCGCTGTGCTGGGTCCCTCCCCTGCCATGGTGCCAGCCCTCTGGCCAGCGTGGAACAGGATGGGACCTGGGACTCAGGCTGAGCTGAATGTTCTTGCGGCTGGGTGGTTTGGGTCAGTCCCAGGGAAGGACACGGGAAGCCAGCGAGATGCCACAAAATATCACGGGTGCTGATCCGGAGCTCTCTAGGGGAGTGCGGGCAGGCACAGCTGGGGCTCTCCTTGCAGGGGGTTGTTTCTAATGCCTCAGGGCGCGTTGGGCACCCTTAGCCAATCTGTCCCTCCCAGCTCAGATCCGGCTGGAGAGCCGGGGTATCCCGCGGGAAGGCTTGAGTGCCAGATAGGGAGAGGGTGTCAGGTGGGGTGTCTGTCTGTCCCCGCTTGGCACTCGGTGATTGGCACTCAGGTCAGCTGGGGGCAGCTGTGATGACGTCCTGGCTGTTGTTCGAGATCCCTCCACATTTGCTGCCTCTGAGCAGTTGATTCCTTCCCGTGTCCTTCGTAAGGGAGCTGCAGCCCACGCAGCACACTTGGGTCTGAGCTGGATAGTTACACAGCGAGCCCTCCCTCCAAGAGATGCGGCACACTTGGCTCAGAGGCTCGGCTCGCTGCCTGCTACCAGAGGAAGGGGAGACGTTATGGATTTTAGCACCTGTGCGCGCTCCCCTTTCCTTGGCTGAGAGACTATTAACACGTGTTAATTAGAATGAGGAAGATTCAGCTGTGAGTGAGTCATTAGCAATGAATAAAACAGCCAAGATGTTCCCAGGCCCCAGAATCAAGACTGACAAATTAGGACTCACAAGGATGGGGCAGGAGTTTAAGCTGATTCGGTTCCTTCCTCCGGCGTTAGGAAGTGATGCGCAGCCCCAGTTGCAGAATGCTGAGCTGCTTCCCTGGCAGCCTGGGGACGGAGTCGAGCTCTGGTCTGGTCGCCATGCAGTGTGTGCAGGAGCGGTGGGGGGGTTGTGTGGAGTGGTGGGTGGGGCACCCCGCGTGCAGAGCCCATCTCCTGGACGTGGTACGCTCCAAATAACGCTTGGGTCTCCCCCCCTTCCCCCCGAGTAGTGAGAATCAGAGCAAAGGAAAAAGACAAAGGTGGCCACTTGGGCAGATTTCTGGTTGCCTTTTGGGGCTAAGCTTTTGGGGCTAAGCTTCTGGGCGGGTTATAGGTCTGTGCTCAGAAAGGGACGTTCTCCTGCTCCTCCTCATCACCCCAATGTCATTACCTCACAGACACTAACCTTCCCCTACCCCATCTCTGTTCTAAAATCTGATTTGTCAATTTCACATCTGTTCATTTTTTTGATTGTACCCTTTGGTATATAGGGTTGTACCAATTTTCTTCCACTATTTGATCTGAGGAAGTGGGTCTGGCCCACGAAAGCTCATCACCTAATAAACCATCTTGTTAGTCTTTAAAGTGCTACATTGTCCTGTCTTTTGTTTCAGCTGCACCAGACTAACACAGCTGCATCTCTATCACCATCCCACCTGATATGTGCTCCAAGTAGTCTCAGGCGCAGTAAGGGCTGTCTTCCTCCCCAGGGTTTCCCAACCGATGGGTTGGGACCCAAATATGGGTTGTGGGTCCCCAGGTGTCTCCCCAGGAGCCATTCACACATTTTTTTGAATTGCCCTGGGTCACCAAGTCTTCCTGAATTGTCAGAATGGGTCCCCATCTGGAAAATGTTGGGAACCACTTGAGTCTAGGCTGGTCTGTCTCCGCAGCCACCAGCCTTCCTGCAATAGACTTTCCTCTTTCAGCTTCCTCCATTCCAGCAGAGCAAACCTTCCAGGCTAGTCTAGTTAGTGCTGTGTGAGCCCAGCTCTGTTAGAGAAAGGGTGTGCCTCCTCCCAGGTAGGTACACATACCAAAACCAGAGTGTGAGTGTGAGTGTGAGTGTGTGTACAGATGCTTGGATCCACATCCACCCTTCTTATCTGAATAGAAAAAGATACAATTTTTGGATGCATAAGAAATGGGTAGAAGTTGACACTGAAACCTACGTCTTAGGAAACGGTGGGTTTGGAGTACTGTGTCCTGTTCTAGTCGCCCTATCTCACCATGCATAAAGTGCAGACAGAAATGTTTGAGATGGAAATAACTGGCACCCAGAGATCTTTGATCAGTTCAGAGAGACGAGATAGAAGTGGTGTACACCAGAAACTTCTGTTCACCCTTTTTCCTAATAGAAAGGCAATAGGGTATTTATTAAAACTGAAAGGCTGCGTCTAGACTGGCATGATTTTCCAGAAATGCTTTTAACAGAAAAGTTTTCTGTTAAAAGCATTTTCGGAACAGAGCGTCTAGATTGGCAGGACGCTTTTCCACACAAGCACTTTTTGCGGAAAAGCGTCCGTGCCAATCTAGACGCGCTTTTGTGCAAAAAAGACTCGATCGCCATTTTCGCGATCGGGGCTTTTTTGTGGAAAACAAATCTGAGCTGTCTACACCGGCCCTTTTGCGCAAAAGGGACTTTTGCCTGAACAGGAGCAGCATAGTATTTCCGCAAGAAGCACTGATTTCTTACAGTAGGAAGTCAGCGTTTTTGCGGAAATTCAAGTGGCCAGTGTAGACAGCTGGCAAGTTTTTCTGGAAAAGCGGCTGATTTTCTGGAAAAACTGGCCAGTCTAGACACAGCCAAAGGGAAGAAATTTGTAACGGAAACAGAAGCACTTCTTTGCACAGTGCAAGAGTAACATGCAGAGCTCCTTGCCACAAGGTATCACAGGCTGAGCTCCTGGGGGTTCAAACAGGATCAGATGGTGGCATTGCTGAAACATTCAGCTATGCCGCTGTCAGAAGAGGGGGTTGTGGGCAGTCATGTCTAGTAGTTAGAGTCCAAATGCTTGAGCTAAGGCTCAAGAATGCATTGCAGCCAGGAATCAGAGCCAAGGGTTGGAACCACATTCCCTGGAGGCAGGGAAGAGAGCAGGAGCAAGGCTCGTTCTGCGGCAGGAGTGAGGCTGGGACAGGACTGGGACAAGGCGGCGAGCCGGGCAGGGTCTTGGCTGGGTTCAGGGCAGAAGCAGGGAGTGCAGTGAGGGGTTCAGGGAGACAGAGAATCCATGGGCATGTTGCATTGAGCTGCTACAGCTCTTGGGCTTCAGGGCAAGCCAACTGCCAAAGCCAATCGGGCGCTTCTGCTGCAACCTATCTGTCCCTGCTGGCTGCTTACCACTGGGGAAGCAGCCGGGGCAGCTGCGGCTGCTCCTTCCTGCTAGCTATCGAGGGAGGCACCCTCCTGAACCCAGGCGTAAGCAAACGGCCGAGTGCTGGGATGCATAGCGCCCGTGCCAGGCTATTGCCTGAGGATCCACTATGGAGCTCTGGAGAGGAGGTGCTGCTCACCCTGCCATTCTGGTGCCTCCATCTCTGACGAGGGAAGTGTAATGCACAGATCAGCGCACTGTGCTCACCTGCTTGCTCCCAGACAGCCAGTGGAGGGACTGTCACTTCATACGGGGGTCAGGGAGAGCAGAGTTTGGCCTCCAATTTATAGGAGTTGTCCCCTCCCTGGGACGGAGGGAGACAGCCTTGCCCCAGATAGTCCCCCTGCCACACAGCTGCAACACCATGGCCTGTAGGCAAACCCACGTTGTATAGTCATCGCAGTGGGAAGGAAGTACATTAACTCTTGGGCTGGCAGAGACAGGAGAGCCAGGAATCCCAGAGCTCCTAGCTGGCCTGCTGCCCTCAGCTCCAGGATGGGAGCCGCATGGAGTTAGAGATACCTCCTCAGTTTCTCACCAGCCAGCTCCCCCCACGCTGCCTACGTGGACAATTAAACTGCGCTGCCTTTCGACAGTGTGGCGAGACTCGGGCGGTGTTGAGAAAAGGGGTGAATCCTCGTAAAGCTGCCCCTTCCCCACGCCATGTCCCGGGACGCTGGATGGGTCCCAGATAAAAGTTCCCTTCAAATCTCCAGAAAGAGAAGACAAAATGGCACTTGAGGAATTTCCAGAGTCTACTCAAATAGACTCTTCACTCTGCTTCAGGGGCCCCTTTCAGTGGGGAGGGGGGGCAGCGTCCTTCAGCCACAGGCACAAAAAGGCTCCGCTAGTTTAAACGAAAGAGGAATAAGACCTGGGAGGTGGCGAGGCCAAGCCATCGGTCCAGAGGCGGGGGAGGGGGCGTGCGCATCTTTTTCCGGTGACTTTTTCTTCACTTTTGCAGCAGTTTCCTTCTTGCATGTGTCCTCTTGTGCAATTGGTCCTGAGCTGCTAGAAAGAGAGAAAGTCAGAGAGGGGAGGGAGGGTTTTTTGACTCTGTTCTTTGAGTGTAATTGTGGCATATAACTGCTTTCTGATGTCTCCCCCTCTCCTATGTTTCAGCTCATCTTTGTCAAGCAAGCCTGAGCTCTTGCAATAGAACTAATCACTTCTTTTTTTTCTTCCTCAATGCTCTGAGGTTTCTTGCCTAATATCCTTTTGCCCAGTTAATTCAAGTCTGCACACGTACCTCCCACTTCGGACCTTTCTCAGTCATTGTAAAGTGCTTTAGTAGTTTCCTGCCCAGTAGTTTTTGTCATGCCTCCATTCTTTTTTCCCAAGTGTATTCCATATAAAATTCTCCTCTACACTGTGTCCTACCCCTCTGCGCTGTGTGCGCGATCTCCCACGGTTTCTATCTCACTTCTCCTGCGT